ATTTTTTTTGAACACCACACATTGAAGTTGTCCGTGGACAAGTTAATCTGAAAACATTCCCAGCCATATGAGAGTGCTTTTCCCTTCCCTCTGCAAGTTATCTTAAAACTACTTCCAAAATTCTACTCGTCCTAGGGTAATAAATAAGAGGCCAAGAAAAATACGTTAAGAACGTCCCCTGCTTGTTCCCTGCACGGCTACAGGTACCGTTCCTCAAACGCTCCAAATAATTTACATGCTCTTGCACCACGATGCCTTGAATTGTGCCTTGTGCCCTTGTTTATGTATCCGTTTTATGGCTCAAACGAGTGGCTGGCAATCCTTTCAGAGCACATAAACACAAGATAAAACACCGTGCAGAAACAGGCTGAACCACCACGGGCATTCTTGAGAGGTTAAAGAAGTTTAATTTCCTCCAGGTCATAAGAGGTATAACCATCCCTTAAAATAGTTTTAGCATAGATGCAGAGGCTTTTAAAAACAATTATTGTTCTGCTTAGTACACTAGGACTACAAAGAACATATTTTATATGATTTTTAAAATACACTATACTTGTTCTGATAGGGATAAATTTCAAATGATATAAATCTCATTTTAATATGTAAAGGATTGGGAAAGCAATTGCTGTTACAGGCACAAAATTAAGAATTGATGAAATCTGAATGATGTATCTCAAGTTGGTCTCAAAGTGAATGTACTTGTGATAAAATTGTGAAAGGGACTAAGAGATGGTCCATTTTTTCTATAGCCTTCCTGGTTTACAGGCACACAAGCGAAGTGCCTAAAATGTTAAGTCTCACAGTTAATTTTTTTTTTTTTGTATTTCAAATGTTTATAAAATAAATGACAGTTATGCTCCAATGCTATGGTGGTGTCCCAAAAAGAATACAGCTTTTCAAACTTGTTAGAAAAGGAGTTGAGAGTCAGCAATCATTAAAGTTTTTTAATTAAAAGTAGAAAAGAGTTACAAGCATTTAAAATATTATACAGTACATACAACTTGAAGCAACACTCATCTTTATTTCCTGTTTCTTGAGGGACACTGATTTTGTGTTTATAAGGAAAATAATATATAAAAGTAATTGTATAGATTTTGGAACAATGAATAAGAATGTAGAGGAACAAGACAAACACCTACTCAGCTGCAAAATACTCTGTAAATAACTCAGCTGGAAAAAAATCAAGGAATACTGGAATGTACTCAATTCACTCTCTTTTTTTGCAGATTAAATTCAGCTACTTTTTGAAAGTTTTTTCCTCCTGTATCATAGTCGATTCAAAATCAGCCATAAAGGGAGAACATACTGACTACTTGTGCATATTCACCTTCAAAGTTCAAATTATTTGCACATGACTTAAAAAATTTGTAAAGGTTTTCCTTAATAACAGAAGAAAGGTGCACAAATATGTAATTTTCCTAATTCTAATGGAAAACAACATTTGTGGATAATAAAGACACTGTTCTAGATCTAATTTGTTTTCACATTTCATTTAAAACTGCAGACAGTATGCAAATACCCACAACAGAAATACGTTAGGGAAAAATAAAATTTCAGTGCCCTCTATTCAGTAAGTTAGAATTGTAAGCAGAGCTAAGATCTACATCCCGATAGTGAAATTTCCTAGATATTTGCAGTGAAGTCCATAGGTAGGAACTATTTTAAATTGAAAAACGGAATTCAAAGAATTTTCTTTAATCCAGTTTTCCCAGATCTTATGGTTTTGTATGAAATAGCATGCCAGCTCTCAACTGCACACCCAACAGCATACTCAACACACGCAGCTCGTCTGCTCTTTAATGTTAGAGTCTAATACATGCAGTCCTGTTTAAATGAAGGAAGGACACAAAACTTCCATTTGTTGAACTCATCTATGGTTAATAAGTGTTGTAGATTAAAATGCTAGCATTACTCTTGCATTTTTGCATAATTTCACAGCTAGCAAATAACTATATAATAACATAAGTTTATTCAGCTAGCTGTAATCTGAAGAAAACAAAAGTCTGTCCTACTATCCTTAATGTATTTTATGAATGCTCAGTGTTATCTGAAACATCATACGCTGTGTATTTACAGCATACACTAAGTAATATTGAAGTTGTTATTAGACAAGCAAGCTAAAAGACATTTGTTCCTTCTTTTTAAACACTGGAAACAACACAGTACGGAAATTCCTGGTCATTTCACACCAATTTGTATAGAATCCTATAACTGCAATCGCCTGTAATTGCCTGCCAACAAATCTGCAATGTAAAATACATATCTTAAAAATAAGCAAGGCAAACCTGAAATAGATTAAAAATATCTAATTCATGGTTACATCTCAGGAGTTATACAAGTCTTAGATCTGACTACAGGAACTGAAATAAATCTAAGCATCTGCCTGCACTGTTCCATTTCCAAACAGGCCAGGAATTCACATCTTCAAATGTGGTTTATTTTCCTTAATCCCACAGAATAAAACATTAGGTACAGCAACACAGTCCCCCATTCCTTACTCACTTGAGGTTTTACCAAACATACCACACGAACACCTATAATGAAAAGAGTGGCAGCTGTTTAGCAGAACACTACACAAATTACCAAATAGGCAAACAATGTAAAGTGCCAGCTCTTGATGTCGTACAAGTGACAAGAGGTAAAACAGTCTAAAAGTCCGCCGTAGGAAGTCCATAGCAATCAGAACCAGGGATTTGCCCTGCTCCATGACTTGCTTTACTGCAAGGCATAAGTGACCTGGAGTGCTACAGTTACCACAGCCTGGAGAAACAGGCACTTGCGGAAGACAGAAACCTCACCTGGACACACCTGAAGGGTCCCACACAGGCAGAGCCCAGCGCGACCTCCCTGCACTTCATGTCAGCCCCGGCCCCAAAGCGTCCGGCGAGGCCTGCACCGCTCTGCTCTGCTCAGCCTACCTACAGCTGGCACGTGAACACGTCCGCCGCTATCCTGAGGTAACGCATTTCACTGGAACCGAGTTTAGCACAAACTCGGTGATACCCCATACCTCACAGCTCCAAGAAACAGAAGCACAATATCTAAGCTTCAATACACCTAGTTCTAGTTATTTAGTGTCACTCCTTGATCTGAGGTCCCTTCCAACCTCAGCCATTCTGTGATTCTATGATTAAAATATTTTACATTTTTCTTTTTTTAAATGATCAACTCAGCTGCTTTTTAAACCAGCATAAGAATGCCCTGGAAGTATAAATGTCCTTTAGTAGTTATCTTCCTCATTTGACTGTAAACATTTAATTGTACATTTGCAACTATGACACGAGAGACTTGAAGATGTAAGTTGCTGTACTTACGTTTTCTGAAAGCGATAACGAGATGCATTTCAAAGTGTTGACTCCTGGCCAGCTTAAAAATCAAACACCGCACCCAGGAGGATTCAGGTTCTAAGGTATGGAAATACTACTCCTTGCTGCCTTTATGAAGTTTAACAGGATTCATGTACATCATGAATCTTTACTCAGCATTGGAAATGGAAAACAATAGATTTGCTGGCCTGTGTTCACGGGCCTATATTTTTAAACTGTAGCACAGTTTACACCTTACACACAGACAAACAAGGCCCCCTGATTTCTTCCTGGAGCTGAGAGTTCTGTTCTACTCCCAGGTTAATCATATGAGATAAAACATGAACATAGTGACCCTGGCAGAACCTTGCGATAAGTTCTAGCACATTTTGTAAATCTCAGTTCTGTTGAATATAACAGTCTCAGAAAAAAAAACTATTTTCTTCTTTAAAACGTTCTTTTGTAGATGAAACCATGGAATAACATTAACTTGTCAAAGTTCCATGTATCAGATGCGAACAGATACGTGCACCAAATTGGCAAAACTTTATGTATCAGATACAAAAAGATACATGTAACAAAACAATTCTGTAACACAAAAGGAAAATATGTAAATATTCATCTACTAATGCTGTTGCCAGAAACCTCTATCAGTCACTCAATTTTTTTTTTCACGTTAATCAAGTCTATGAGCTTAAAATTACATTCCAACACCTGTCCCTTTACCCTAGCAATCCTTCATCGCACCGTGCATGTTCTACAGTAGAGCTGGAAGAAGACACAAGTTTGCCTGCAGTCTCCAGCTGACACCATGTTTAAAGCCAGGTCAGGAGAGGAAAGCTTCCCTAGAGGAATAACATGCAGCTAGCGTAAGTATATCCCAAATCAAGCCTATGCAATTTTTAGAAAATGCTTACACAACATTTTGGAAAAGACTATCAGCTACCCTAAGTAATTTCATATGTGGAAGGAAGAGTTGTTTCAGACACCATTTTGCCCCAGGAATGTAGACAAAAGAACAAAACAAAGAAACATTTTCCAGGCATCAGTAAGGCCTGGAATGATACAGAAGGGCTAGGGAATCTGAGGCAGTGAACTGCATAAGCTCAGCGACACTACTCGGACTCAAGAAATCTTTGGGAGGGAACTGGAGAAACTGAGTACCGACATCTTTCCTTTCCCTTTCTGCCCTTGAGAGTGTGGGGGAAAATAATGAAAGTACTTAAAGGAAGCAGCCTGTGCCTGAATGCAGTACTCTAACCTTGCCAACATGATGGAGGGAGAAGTGTTATTTACCAACTCCTCCAGCTATGTTTGCCATGGGATGGTGGGTGCAGAAGACATTGACTGAGCAAAAATATCAGGCATACAGGCAGTTCTTTCCAATGACATACACAAACTCACACACAAACAATGCAGGAAGGGAAACATTTGTCTTATAGAGTCAAATATCCACTTTTTGGAATACCCACTGTAAATAAACCACAGCTTCCTATGAATTACTTTCATAAATATCAGTAACAGTGTCATAACTTACTGTCAGCGTAGACATGCTTCTTTGCAGCAGGTATTTCCTACCAATAGGGCGTCCCTTGTTAGAGACATGTGTATTCACTAAAGCGGAGCGAAGGCAGCGCCGCCCTGGGAAGCAGCCGCTGCCACCCCCGGGGGAGGCGCTTGCAGGTGCATCCTCACCTTGAGATGGGGCTTTGCCAGCAGCTTCAGCAGCTCCCTGATCTCGCTGTTCGGCGGTTTGCTCTGCAGCTCCTCAGCCAGCTGTGCGGGAGATTGAATTGACACAGACACCATCAGGAAAGCGCTGTTGTACCCAGTGCATCAGTGACAACCAAGAATCTATCTTGTTCAAGGTTATTACTTTCCAGTGTGTTAAAACAGAAGCCAGCATGAAGAAAAACACCATCAATCACCGTGCTTCTTTTTCTGGCCCTCAGTGGACCAGATTTAAGCCAGGCCTTTCGGCTCAGTTTAACGCAAGTAATCATTTCTGGCAACAGCAGAGCCAGATCGCACTCTGATTTATAGCAATGAGGGCAAATCCCAGCACTTCATTTAAGTGAATGGCCCTTTGCGTGCAGACAAAGGGCTGCTTGTAAAAATGACTGGATCAAACTTTGACACTGTCTATAAAAAACAGCTCCTGAATGAGGTGGTGAAATCCATACTGCTTCCAAAAACCCACAGTAGCTGTGCTGTTTAGGGCTGGAATAAGAAAGCAAAGTGCCCCTACAGCGCAAGCAATCTGAACCTTTTATTATGTTTACACATACACTGGAAGCAGCTTGTTAAACGTAAAGCGGGTTAATCATAACATGGTTTATAACAGGTCATCAGCCATTCAAGCCCCCCAAAATGCACAGAGCGTGTCCTGACACAGAGATGGTAACAGACGTTTGGTTCCCCTACAGGACTGTGTTTTGGTGAACAGCGGGGCAGTGGTCTAAGGCTTGAGCCCACGGCTGCCTGGCTCCTAAGCTTTCCTTTATCACTATGTTCTCAACTAATCTGGACTCCAGAGGCATCTATTACTACACAGATTCAGACTTCAGACTACTTTTCCAGAAGAAGGAAAAGCTAAAACATTCTTTACGACACTGAACTATAGTTTAACATTCTGAAGCAACATGGCTCATAATCCAAATTTTGATTTCAGATAATCACTTAATTTCTTTATATTAAATCAATGCCATAGAAATTTATCAAAGACAACTAGTGATTTGAAGAAAGCAAATTTATTCACCTAGCTTAATTTTAAATTCTTACTTTCATTTTTTGATGATTTAAAATTTCAAAAAATAAAGTAGTATATAAGCATATTTTGCAGTAATTATGTATAATATATAATTAGAGAAGCAACACCAGGCACATTCTGAATACATTTTTGAACCTTCATATTAACACAGAGTTCAAAGAATTGAAACCAAAAATTTATCACCTACATCCACTATAACTCATAACACAAAATCATTTATCAAACACATCAAAGCTAATCTTAACAATCTTCTTACAAGTATATAGTAGGATTAGAAAAAAAGGAAGGTCAAAATGAAATACCTGATGCACATAAGAGCAGGAATCAAGGTAATCTGCCAGAAATTTAGTCTGCAAATTCTGGGGAAGAGCTTTGCCAAGCTGCAAGTCACCTGTGAGAGAAGTGAGCGCAGCTCAAAGATACAGATTCCCCTTTGTTCTTGTTTCATTTTGAGCTTGTGCTGCTTATTACTGGAGAATAAAATGGAGGCATCTGTAGTTTCATTGATCAAGACGCTAATCAGGCAGCAGGAAAGGGAGCTCCAGGGCTTCTCAGACGACGTGTACAAGCTGAGCTGCCATCTGCTTTGATGGTGCGGGTGTGGATACAGGTACACAAGATATAGAACAGTAAGAAACAAGAAAGAGTACTAAAGTGCTTGAACTGACTGTTTCTCATCTCAGTGCAGCTTAAAAAGCACTTGTGATGTCTAGAGAAACAGGAGCCCCAAGCCGTGCTCCCTGTTAGCGAACGGCTGTCACCAGGGCGGCCTGCCCTGCTCCTGGCAGTTTTGCACTGGATTTTTGTTCCCTTTTCCTGGTGTTGTCAAAGTGCAAAGACTTGTAACTGCTAATGGTAACGGCTTGATGGGATTCTTTGGAAACAAACATTGTTACTGCAGCTGATCCCCAGATGTGCCAAGGATTGCCAGGAAAGCTGCCAAAGAAGCACTTCCAAAACCCACTGCTGGGAGAACCAAACATTTTACCAACTCTTCATGAAAAGTGGCTGCTCTTGAGAGGGGAAACCAGAGCAAGGCAGAGCCTGGACTAAGGAAGGAATAACAGGACTGGTGAGTTTAAAGTTTCTTGGGAAAGTTCTGAAAGTTCTCTTGTTAGTATAGTGCTTCCAATAACTTCAAGGCCTAGTTCATAGTGTGTAACTAACTACACTTCAGGACATGTTTGTATGGTTTGCATCAAGGCAGCTCTCCTACATGAGGCATTGCTGCTCCAAAATAAGAGGTAAACTGAAGCTCTGATGGGAAATTCCATGTGACTAGACAGGGCAGAGAAGGGAAGGCCGCTAGGAATACAGGAATGTGCTGGTTGTTACTTCAACACTGAACAGAAGAATAAAGACCTCTATAAACAGGTTTCAGTCATGTTAACAGCCCCCCAAATTTAGGTTTCAAACCAAGCAGGAACTATGCGCTTGTTAATAAGAATACTTCCTAGTTTGTTTAACTACAAAGCAGTTAATATCACTAGGGAAAAAACATTAATTTAACGCATATTGAAATAAAAGTGTGTGTTATATCACTAACATGCTCTTAAATCCCTGAAGCTGACAACCAGCCGGACAAATGTGCCAACATTGACTAGCACTTCAGTGCTAAAACCCCATGTATCTTAGAGTTATAAAAACCATTGTACTTATTATTAATTTACTTAATGTACTACATTAACTTACATGCCTGAAGGTTGCTGGTAACTATTGAAAATACACATAACCCTGCAACGTTATAGCCTGACTTCAGCTGCCAGAGGACACTTCACTTTTATAGGACGCTGCTCATAAAATGAGTGATTCCACTACCCACATGCAAAAATGGAGCAGCAAGAGGATCTTTAAATGAAGCTGTGCATATAGAGCAGGCAGGTGTCTACACACATTCATGTCTTAACATGCACACATTTAAAAAACATTGCTAAAATATATTCATAAGGTAAAAACCTCCCAACCACTCATAACTAAGAAGTCATAGAATAAATTTGGGAGTTTCCAACCTCACACATTTTAAATGGAGCAGAAGAAAGAAGGAAGTTGCTTGGCATTTCTGAAAATAACAAAAACTATGTTTTGCATCCAAAAATAAGAAACTGATTCTTATTAAGAATTTTAGCCCAGAGATCAGTAACACAAATATTAACAAGGATTATTAATATGTCACCAGGATCTTAATAAAGACAATTTCAACTAGCTTTCTAATTTTCAAAATTATTGTTAACATTAATCAAAGCTACTCGAAGGTTACAAAAATATTACTGATATATGCCTAAAGTCAAAGCTAATGCATTATTATATTTGGTATGTCACAGGATATAGATCTCCTCCCACTGAAACATTATTAAATTACGATATATCCTTTTTTACGTATACTTGTAATATATTTAACTTAAGTGTTTCTTTAGGATGTTGCCATTCTCAATTCACAACATTTAATCAATTGTCTAATTTAAAAATCAAAAGGATATTAACAATGTAAAAAAATCAGCTAAGCTTTTAAAATCTCTATAAAATATGACAAGCTTCAAACATGCTATATTTGAAACAGATCCCAACACATTCTGCCTTTTCCAAAAAACAACCTGAGATCATCACTTGAAACAAAGACTTCTGGATTTCACCTAAACCACAGTTTATTAAAAATTTCTCTGTCCTGGCCTACCTCAAGTTCAGTCATAGTTTATACAGGTGTGTGCACAATTCATCTGAATGCTAGAATTAACCAAATAGCAAGAAATGGCAGGTTGGAATATTTTTTTTCTTTAAAATAAAAGTTATAGTAACAGGAAATTAACTACTCCATCAAAGCCAACCACTTCTACGATTTATTTTTTGGTTATGAAGGTAATTTGGAAAGCACCAATATCCATAAATCATGACTGTACTTTTTCTTAAATAGCTTTTTTTTTGAACAACCCTTCTTCCTAGGCATTTTATATGCCTCATTTCTGTACTTTTATCTGTCATTTTTCATGTTCTTTCAGCAGAACAGCTATCTCATTTGTCTTTATTTTTCCAAAGCATTCCTCTT